TGAATAATTTTTGATATAATTTATATAGTAATTTATATAGTAATTTATATAGTTTATATAGTTACTTAGTTTTGTTTTTATTACAATTGCTTGATGCTTGCGGGCAAGTATAGTAGTCAAAGTGAAGCCCACTATTTGCCCCAGGACTTGAACTCGGCAGTGCTAAGTATCTTTAGCTGCATCATAGAGCCAGAAAATGTAAATACGGCATGTAGGAAAATATTAAATAGTAAATCATTTGATAAAGGTCATTTAACAAGGAAAGTCATGTAATTTCATTTGTTGATAATAAATGTGAGAATTTTTAAAAAGATTTTCATAAATGGGGATAATGAAGTGAAAGTGTTGATGGTTTAAAGACCAACTCAAACACCTTCACCAAAAGCCTGCTGTAAGAGGAAGCCAGCTAAATGCCATCTGCTGTTTCTCTCTACATCACAATATAAAGACCACGTCTCTCAGAGAGAAGGTCCTCCTCAAATGTCAGGGCCACACTCAGGAGCCTTGATGGACAGCGTCTCTTTAAAAGCAATATTGGCAGTAAACACTGAAGGAAGAGGCTGTCTATCTGCCGTCTGCCATCAGAGCACGGGCGGCGATGATAATCGCCACTCAGGAATGGAACCTGCAGGAGTTGAACTTTACCTTCTTCACATTTATTAGATCTTCACCAGCTGTGAGCTGCTGTGTTGATGTGGACAAGGACAGTGTGTGTGTGTGTGTGTGTGTGTGTTTTTGTGTTTTTGAAATTCCAGATTCTTCTGCTTACGTCATTTCAACAACTTCTTTATTTTTTGGTAAATTTCAGGGCCTTCTGACTTTTTGTTATTTACTGGTGGGAACTGAATTTGTTTTTTATCTCAGACATTGAACACCTAACAAATCTAACAATGACAACAAAATTATATGTAAACTGCACTGTCCATCATTTTGTGGAGTAATTAGTGACAGAAAAACATTACCATCCATTCCTGTAGAGATATCTTCATCCTTCAACCTGAAAACATACACTGTACACGTCTTTACATCTGGAGCCGACAATAATGTGGACTCACCATGTGTCGCCTAAAGTCCAATTAAAAGTGTGAATTTAGAAAATGAGCAATTTTCCAGCATCTATTGCTGATTACTTTACAGGGTGGTAGGGGGTGCTGTAGCCAATCCTTGCTGTCAATACAGCACATCACTGACAGTTCACCAGTCCATCACTGGGACACATACTGTATGTATTGAGGACTGCCATGAACTGCCAAAACTACATAAATACGTCATTAAATAATAATTAAATGTATTATTAAATGGGTCGTTATGTTTTCATTATTTAACTAATTATGCAATGTCCAGTACTTCGTAAATCATCATAGTCAGTGGGCGGGGCTACCTCATCTAGTCTGATCCATTGGTCTAGCATTGATCCAGCATACCTGGAGAGAGACTAAATAAGTTGGTCGGAAAGTTTGGAAATAAGTTCTACAGCTTCAATAAATTCTTCCTCTTTACTTGTGTGTCACTTCATTGTCTCTCTCCATCTATATAAACAAAACAAATAAATAAATATGTATTTAATAAATTTTAACTAAAACTAAACCAAGACAGTGGGTGAGGCCATTATACTATTTCTGTATAGTATATATTAAGATTTCAACTTACATATAAACTTCGTATCCTTCATTATTCCTGTGTATCATTATCGTGCACGATCCACATTTCTTCCAGTTAGGTGACACGTGTTAAATGAGTTTGACACATCCACGGGCTAACACCCGTGTAGAAAGAATTAATCAGAGGGAATTTTAGAGACAGTGTGGGGAATTAAAAAAGGAAACAACATTTTGGCAAAAATAAATAAAAAAATAAATCTTCACTTTTCACTAGGTTTCATCATAGACCAAGCATCAGATATATTCAGTTGCTAACCTGTGACAGCTGACACCACAGAACAAAACCACCACAACACTGTTACCACGTCACTTCCTTTCTGAAATTTGCTGAAAGCGTAATTTAAGCCAATAAACTGACTAAGATTGACTGAAGATACAACGAGGTTTCTACACTACCACGCTGATGCACTGTTATGACTCCTGAAGTCAAGTCATCCTGTGGCGAGGAACCATTAGCATACTCGCTAAAACTGCTCGACAGAGCTAGCACAACAAAGGTCTCAATATACTTCGGCTTTCCAGAGAAGAAATATCTACTACTTTGACACACGACAAACTTAAGAAGATGCATAAAAGCTGTAGCTTGTCAGTTAGCAGCAGTTAGCACTGAGGCTAGAAACCAGAAAGGCAGCATAGATTCTTTTAATCTAATGATAAACATGAGTGAAATACGACAACCTTAGTTACAGGGAGTGGTGTTGGGCCCATGTATAGACTTTTAAATTTAAATATCATTTTTTACTATGATTTCTCTTTCAAAATGAGTTTGATAAATGAACCAGCGTGTGATTAGTTTTAGCCAGATGTCTTTTGTTTTCACACATTTTCTGCCTAATTGCTCTGCTTTGTTTTCTCCAGATTTAAATAAAAGTCTGTCAACATGTGCAAACTGCACAAAGCTCTTCCCCTTCAAAGCATATGAGTTACCAAATGTAAATGACGGAAGCTTTTCAAATGCTAAAAAACTATGTTTGGCATCACATCCTAATTGCACACTGTTGCAATTATAGCAATTATTTTTGGAGGAGGTGGGTGCTTTTTTTTTTTTTTTTTTAACCTGCCCCCTTCCACGCTTTGCTTTTGTCTCTCCCCGAAGCTGACCCCGGTGGCTCGGCACTCTCATTGTCATAATTACCATCATCACAATCACTATTATCTTAATTGGCCTTATCTACTCGTTAGCTCCTCGTTAGCTAATTGACTCGGAGAATATCCCGCCAAACGTTTGCCTGTGAAGACAAAAGGCAACAGACGGAGATCAAGAGGAGACATCTGCCTGTTGACAGAAGCTAAAAACACACACACACACACACACACACACCGACGAGCTGGAGCTCATCTGTCACAGTAATGATCAGCTCAACAACTGTACACAATTATGTGGCGGCAGCAGCAGCAGGGAGAAGCTACGGCTTCAGCTGCAGCCGCTCTATTATAGACGAGAAGACTTTGATAAAACAAACACTTCAGCATTGACGGATGCTCATTAACATCTTCTGACTGACCTCGGGACCCCGAGAAGTACAGGAGTGAAGAACACAATTACAGACTGTGGGTTCATATAGTACAGAGAAGGTGTCTTTAAAAGAGTAATGACTGTAATGATTACATTGGAATTTAGTTAGAAATGACTAGAAATGGCCTAAAAACTTCATCTGAAGTGTGATCAGAGCCTAAACCATCGTCCACTCTTTTCTTTGTTTCCATTCTATGCATGTCATGTGACCACTAAGCAGAAGAGAGCAGTGACACCATCTGATCAGGTCCACTGGACATCTTTGTCCCTTAATGGTAGATATTCAAATATGTATGTTTTTATTGTGTACAAAATATGTCATCTATGTATGTTTTTATTGTGTACAAAATAATACAATCTTTCATTCATATGTTGTGAAAAAAATCCATATTGATGTTGTCAAATGGCCAGTATTTGTCTTGTGTTTTATTGGGTTAAAAATTCACACAAAGTATTGATATCAGTATTGAGACAAATTACCAAAACAGTAATCAGTATCGAATCAAACATTCTGATCTCACCCATCACTAACACACACACACACACACACACACATAAAAACCACAACATTTCAGGAGGTTTACTGGGAAATTGTTTTACACAATTTCATCCATTACAAGGAGCAAATGTTTTCCCAGAATGTGTTATCTTGAATTATCCATACACTTGTTTCTCCTCCCGACCTCCTTGCATTATTCTCACTCCTGCTCCGTCATTTCTCCTATTCTCTTTTTATTCTCTCTTCACTGTGATTTTACCCTCTTTCTGCCCCAGGGTTCCCCCCTCCACCCATTTCCTTTATTGCTCCTTCATTCTTTGTACTTTACTCCTCGCCTCTGTATTGTCTTTCCCCGTAAT